AATGAAACGTAACTTATCTTGCAAAAGATTATGTGAGGCTTTAGTACCACTCAAATGAAAGAGCAGCTTTATAATTCCTAGAGGACCCTTTATGGAGTTTATAATAACTGTGGACAGGATTTGTAACCCTACTTCCACATTCCCCTCCTACTCATCAAACACCCTTCAATCCATCAAATGCTTTTTTCTGCTTCCCTTTTTCATTTGTTCCTACCTACTGCTGTTTATTTGTGGGTCTTTATGTCCCTTACTTCTGTTTACTCTTTATTCCCTGAGCACAAGCCACCCTGTACTTTTAAGTAACCATATTAAAAAATAAAAAACAAAACAAAACATATTACTAAACTATTGTAAAAGAGAATAATAATCATAGATTTTTAAAAAGAACATAAGTTCTATTCTTACTGGAGAATTATTATACTTGTGTCAAAGAAAGCAAAACTAGACTAAATAGGAACTGTGCTAATTTTTAGATATAATGAATTCACCTAAAGAACTCACCAATGAATGTGGGATAGCCCCCGAGAGTTTTGAGGTACTCACTCTTAAACCCCTCGAATATCTTTACTAACAGCTTAGATGGTGTCCAGAACAGTATTTTTTATAGATATCATTTGTAGATTTAATTTGTTAAAGGGAGGTAAATAGTTGTCTCAAGATTAAACGTAAAGTTCAAATTGGCCAAAATCAAGTGGTGAAAAGAGTCAGTCATACAAACTAAGATCCTATAGAGTCAAAAACATTAAAAGCATTTAAGTGCAAGATATGGAAAGAGGACAAACCACTAAATACATAAGAAAAATCTAGGAATCCTTGTCCAGGAATCATGTGGTTAAAAGATTAACAAAATGTTAGGGCATAGGAGAAGGATAAAAAGCTTAATGGTTTTTCAACCACAATTTTTTTATTGCATCTGCACTTGATCATACTCACATAGGGAAACCAGACAGCATCCAATTATGAGTATTCATATAAATGGAGAATTTTAAAAAGTGAGTAAATAAATATTTGTGATGTTAGAAGAGGAAAAGAATGCACTCCATTACCTTTCAACAAGTGAAAGTTAAGGGCTGCATAGCTGACCTCTTAGGACAGAAAGATGATGACTATTGGCAAGGAATAAGAATACGAAGAAATAAGATTATGCTTCCATAAAAAAATTATCCTTATTTCTTTATTTCAAAATACAAATGCAACAGTAGTTATTTTTATTTTTTACTTCATGTAAAAAAATAGTGTGCTGACTGGATGAATATAAACACATATATGATATATATATATATATATATATATATAATGGCATTTACATAATAAATTTATAAACTCTTGAATGGTATATCAAAGAATATAATTTAATTTTTGCCCGAACAAGTGATATGTCTAGGTCAGTCACTCATTAGTATCATGTTGATAAAAAGGAGTAAAAAAGATTTCCAGATCCTTTCAAGCCAGTGCTAAACTACAGGATCCAGCATTAACAGTCTTTGGTCTCACCTCCCTAATTCAGACATTTTTATAAAAACATTCAATTGGATATTAAATTAGCATAGCCATGATATTAATTAGTCCCTATTCTCTTGGTTGAAAAAAAAAGAAAACAACTAAAATCAATTGGTAACTCAAGTAAAAAATCAATATGGGAGTGAGAAGAGGAAAAGAGAAAGAATATTCATCTTAAAAGAGGTTTCTATAGCTATATTTATAATTAAAACATAGACTTTAACAAAGAACTTCAAACTATTTCCTTTGATTTTTACTTAATCTACTTTCTTTTTATCTGAGTAGACAAAGGACTGACCTCCTCCAGGCATAAAGTTAGAAGATCTATATTTGATTACTATAAGAAATTTCAGTATTTTTAAGGTGGGAAGACAGGAACAGAGATGAAATAAAATTTGCTTTCATATAAGAGAAAAGCATAGCTGAATATTAGGTAGAGAAGTTAAAAAAACTTTCTTCAAAAGTTAGACAATTCTAAAATATTATGGATGGAAATTTTATAATAGCAAGTATTAGAAAGCCATATCCATGTTCTTAATGTCTTCCCCAGAATTGAAAATTCCTTATAACTATTAAATAAAATTTTTATATATATGTGGAAAAGAAGCTTTTATTCAGCAAATAAGAAAACAACAATATAAACATATTAGTAAATTTAATTAGGTAATAGGAAGAACATACATGCACTGTAATTACTATCATTAAGTATTATATTGGATTTTGTTGCCTTAAAAATTCTATATACTTTGTATTAAAGATATAAATTGTACATTTAAAATGTTAAATGCAGGTTAAAAGAGGAAAGTGTGTAAAATTTAATAAGAAAAATGTGTAAAAACTGATAGGGAAATATTACTACTTTAAGATTTTGGTATAGCTTCTCTTTAAAAATAGAGTTGACTATTTTAGGTCACTTCATCTCCATCCCTAAGAGAAAATGAGAGCAACTTGTTAAAAGCAAATCTCCCCTGTAATTTTTCTGAATGTTATTAGTTCCCCAATAAAACATGACTACTTTTCAATGAACTCTGTGAAATGACAAGAACTATAAGAATCCATTTTAGTTACCATGGCTATAGGGAAAAAATCAACTTTAAACAAACTACACTAACTGGCTGGCTGAAGCACTGCCACTGATCAACCCTCTCCCTTCACAAAAAGCAGGAAAGAAATTTCACCATAATTTTGTTTAACTATAAATTGATGCCATATGTCAATCATTTTTACTTCTAGAATTATCTTCCTAATAAATCAAAAGTAAAGAACTTTATAGGAATATGATATGAAATATTTTAATTAGATGTTTTTATCACCTTGTGTTAATATAGCACCTTGCTCCAAATTTGTCAATGGTATAAATCTTTTATTTTTTTTTAATCAGGACATTCTTTATATATGGCCTTATACAGAAGAATCATTATCAGTACTCTGCACCACTACAGAGACTGGGTGCTCCAGATTCATTGCAACTTTGTATTAAAGAAAAAGAAAACAAAACCTGATATGTAGATTAATTCTATTTATGTCTGGCTTTGTTAAAAACAATTGATAAAGTCTAAAAAAATTGAAAATATGTTGCCTGGAAAAGATATCTGCTTTAATAAATAATAACCTTATATGTTTTCAAAACCAGAGAATGGAAATAAATAACCTTAAACATCTAACTTTCCATTTCCATTACACCAATCATTGCCTTAAACTACTGTTTCATAAGAGTCTTAAAGTGATACATAAACATGGATTCCCTGACAGAAACCTTGGCATTCTATTAACAATTTAAGTGCTCATATCTGCCCAGTGGGCCTAACCTAAAGAAAGAGATGATGTATTGCGGAATATGCATAGAAACAGGGACACATAATTACCACTCAATAAGCATGTCTAAAACAATTGCTCAGCTTGATCCCACAACCCACTTAGTTCAAACAGTGGTCAATATAAAAATATGCTAAGTGAAATTTTACAAAATGTATGCAGTTCGTTGAATTATAAAAGAATACGATCTACTCAAATTATTTATTCATAGTTACCTTAATGAACATGTACATCACAGCCAGGCTGATAATTTTCCACTACGGTGTACAAAATTTAGTCTATGTACTGTATATAGCATTGTAAATATGCATATAATGTGAAGTGACAGGACAAGTGAACTGCTTTAATTCAAACACTTTCCTGAGCAACTTGGTCAAGAGCAATTAGGGAAAGATCTTATAAGTGAATAATGAAAATGACATGAGAGCAAAACTTTTTAAAAGCACACTGGATTACTTTTAATTATAACTTAAGTTGGAGCTGTATAACACAGTGTAGGATGGAAATTGAAATTTTGAAGGCAAAGTCTCCACTAAAATATTTATCAGATTCTCATTTTATTAATACTAAATTCTGAATCTGGCTATAGTTCTCTACGCAATCTCAGATCAGTATTTTGCAACGTATGAACTATTTGAGCTCATCTTTTTCAATTTTTGAAAATTTGAAAACTACTAAGGAGAATCCCTGGAGAAGAAAAAAAAGTGAATTGTAAATGGCACACAGCAAGAGAGAACTGGGTTTTACTCGTCATTCCCAGTCTCTAATTGGATGGGCCTTAGGGAGGACTTCTCTTGTTTGTGGTGGTGCCCTCTAAGGACTAGATGGACCTTGCTTTAATAACCACTCCATGTGCAATTTGTTTTAGCATTTACACCGCTGATGGTAGGAAGCAATCTTCTTTAATGGATGTTGAAAAGCTTCAAGTGAAATCTGTAATTGACAAAGGCTTCACAGAAACAGGCAATTAAGAATAAAATTAACAAGAGGCTCTACAGGAAAAGCACTCAAGCCTTCACGAAAACTTCTCTAGGAAAATATTTAGTAAAAATAAAAATTTAAAAGAACTAAGTGTGGTTTCTTCCACTTTATTAACTGCTTCCTGGATCTTTATGCTTCTTGAAATGATTACGATAGAGTTAAAGTTATTGGGTCTACAGAAATAACCCACCTGCTAATATGATTAGACGGGGGAAAAAAAAGAAAAAAAAAAAAAAAAAAGAGCAAAGCCCAAAGCGAAAGTTGAGGCAAGTTCAGCATCTATTTCTTCAAAATAAAAGCTGTTTTGTTCAGCTCTATCTAGTACCTCACACTGAATGGAGCAGTGTGTTTGTGTGGACAATAATCAAAAGCGTTCTGAAGTGCAAAGCAGCAAGGATAGGGAAGGGAACAGAGCACTAATTTCCCTCAAGGCTCCAGGAGCCGACACCGATCCTTAAGTGTTACTAGTCCAGAAAGTGATACGAGCACATCCGAAATGGGGAATATAAATAAGAGCACGAGAGTGAGTGAAAAAGAACAAACTGTCAACTGTGCTCTTTGCCCAAACCCCCAGCCCCTCCCCCGCAGAAGGAAGTTTACCTGTGAAGAGCCAGGAGGGGGGGCTGGGCTGGTTCTCAGGTGAGTTAATTGCCCGGCTTAGGAAAGAGAGGTCGCCTGGTGGGGAAGGGGCGGATAGCACTTACTTTGAGCAGCTTGCAGCGGATTTGCGCAGAGACCATGTGGCTGTTGCGCAGGTTGCCCACCCGGAACATGAGCGTGAGTTTTCCGTCCCTCATGGAGATCACCGCATGCTCGCTAAACATGAGGGTCTCGGCGCGCTTCTTGGGCTGGGACATCTTGATGAACATGCAACCGATGAGGAAGGCATCCACGATGGAGCCGAGGATGGACTGGAAGAGGAAGAGAATGATGCCCTCGGGGCACTTGTCGGTGATGTATCTGTAGCCATAGCCGATGGTGGCCTCGGTCTCGATAAAGAAGAGGAAGGCGGAGGGGAAGTTATAGACATTGGCCACGCAGGGTGTGTAGTTGCCGACGTGGGCTTTGTTCAGGTCGCCCCGAGTGTAGGCGATCACCCACCACATGGACGCCATGAAGAGCCAGGCCACGGTATAGGTGAGAATGAAGATGAAGAGGTTCCAGCGCCACTTGAGGTCCACCAGCGTGGTGAAGAGGTCCGAGAGGTAGCGGCTCGTCTCGCTGCCCAGGTTGCCGTGCTGAACATTGCACCGGCCGTTCTTGTCCACGAACCGCTGCCGCTTCTTCTTGGGCACAAGCTGCTGTTGCAGGTCCTGGCCCGGCCCCTGGGGCTGCAAGCCTGAGCCGCTGGACGAGGTGGTCACTACCTGGTAATCGTCCCCAAATTTCCTTCGGAGTGCAGACATAATACGGAGGGGCGAGCCAGATTCAAACGGAAGCGAAGGCGCAGGAGCTGGGCGCTGCAAACTAGCACCAATAGGGAGGTGGGGGCGGGGAGGGGGGTGCAAAGCGAGTGCTCTGGGGTGGGGGGCGCACCCGGCAGGTAGCTGCCGTCTCTGCCCCCTGCAGACGCCTCTTCTTCTCCCCTGAGACCGAGGCTTTCTTTCCAAGGTGAGTCTTAAAAAAGTGTTCTCCCGCACTCAAGGCAGGAGGGATGCAAGGACCAGAAACCCAAGCGCAATTTTGCCTCCAAGCTTTTCGAGGCGTCTTTTTTCTTCCCCCTCCAACGGCATCCCGGGCCACCTCTTGCCTTCCCACAGCCCTCCTGACTATCTTGCAGTACCCCCAAACTGACCGTTTACAATTAATGAGTTGACAAGCGAGTTCCACCCCACCTGCCAACTCGCAGGCTGGCGAAGCTGCCTCTACCTGCTTGGACCAGACCCTCCCCCCACCCCGCCGCTCCCCAATCTCCCGCCCCCCGGACGGCTCCTGGCTCCCCCCGGCGCTCCCGCCTCCTATCTTTTAGCCAAAATCCCACCCAAAGGCATGTCTGCCCGGCACTGGTGCAACGCCCCCTACCCAAGCCCTCCGGGTTCAGGGTCCCGGGTGCCGGACTCCAGAGACCCGTCCGCCTGGCGTCCTCCGGCCGCCGACTTTCCGCGGTCGCCACCAGGGCCCTCCGGCGGACCCTCAAGGGCCCGCAGGCCACCCCTGAGCTCAGCAGAGACGCGGCCGGGCGCGAAGCCTGGGCACTCACCCAGCGGGAGAGGGCAGGAGGCGGCGCAGCGGGCGGCAGCGGCAGCCTGGCCTCGCACTCTGCGCTCACGGCTGTTTTCCTGGTTCTCACTTTTCCTGGTGCACCACGATGGGCGCCAATGCAGGTCCCCCAAGCTCCGCACCTCCCTAAGGGCACCACGCTGTCCCTCCAGAAGGATCCTGGCGCACCGAACGCAGGCTGACTGGAGCGGGGGAATCGTGGGTTTCTTGGCGCTGTGCCCGCCTTCCAAGAGACAGCGGTGCCGCTGGACGGTGCTGGAGCCTCGGGCTGCCGGTCAGACTTTCAGGTTAAACACTAGCGCCTCTCTAGCTTTTCCTCTGCCTCGCGGTGGAAACCTCTGCCTCTTCTTCCTTCCTTGGTTCCCCACTCCCTGTCCGCGCCGCGGTGGCCCGGGGTGTAGGATGCGAGGCGCAAGCCGGGGCGGCAGGAATGTGGTGTGTGTGGTGGTGCGTGTGATCAGCTGCAGAGCCGCGCTAGCCCCGCCTGTCCCTGCCTTCCCCCGCTGCTCCACCAGCCTGAATTGCACCTCCGAGCCTCAGTTGAGCCTGCAGTGTCTGGCAGCTCAGGAAAAGCTAGCCCCTCCAATGAGAAGCGGCTCTAAATCTGCTCCCAAACGCCCGCCAACTCTCCTTCCTCGCCCCCTGCATCAGTCAGAAAGCCCCCAGCAAGCAGCAAATGCCGCTCTCCGAAAGGAGAGAAGTACAATATGTCTCTATAACTAGGGCTCTCATTTTAAACGGATGCCTGGATTTGGGGTTGCATCATAAACAGAGATCCTAACTGGCTATGATATAGGTATATTCACAACTCAAAGTTGCAAGAGGCAGAGGGAGTCTTAGGATGAACACAGAAAGGAGGGGAGACACTAATAGAAAAGCACCTAATCCTTCCTGAAAATGGCTCTATTAGAAAGGTTCAGAATATCTAGAGTTAACGTGTGGTTGTAATTGAAGGAAGAAGCCTGGATTTTAATGGCTGCGGCCTGGTAGTTAACTTAATGAGGGGCAAAGTGCAGAAATAGCTAATAGAGTGCCCATGAGGAAATACCAGCTTGTTTACCACATTTCATGTTTGTTTTAAATTGCCATGGTATCTTACGGCACATTCCATTCAGTTCAGATACATAAAGTTGATTTTGTTGGAAAATCATCAAATCGTGGCATTATAAAATCAAGGGGCTGCTGTAAGACTACCATGCAAAGTAAAGTAAGTACATAATCACTCTGTCAGTTCTCTGCCAACAGGTATTCCCTTGCAAACCTTAGTGCAGGCAAGCGCATGCCAGCTTGTCAACCGTAAGCATATGACTGTTTCACTGTCAATGGGTAAAACATCTACCCTCAGTTACAGATGCTTCTCCTGCAGGTCCTCTGATAAGAGGTCAGTAACTCTGTTTATTCTTTTCAGGATTACATAAGAAGGTAAAGTGACACTGTGGGAAGTGGAAACTGCTCTGGTCCTGGAATCATAAGACCTGATTTGAGTCCTGCTTGTGCCATTTATAAGCTGTGTGACCTTGAGCAAGTAGCTGAACAACTTTTGAGTCCCAATTTCCTCCCCTGGAAAATTGGGAGTTTTAACATTTTCCCAGTACTAGAATGAAAAAAGGGAGTGTGGTTTTATTATTTCTGCTATAAGGGATGATATATATTGGGCTATAAAGTTGTAAGAAGGCCAAGAAGAAATTACAAATGAGTTTTTGGGATTGGCACCACACTGTGAACTAACACCTATAGTCTATCTCATCACGGACTACTCTCCCCCAGCGTACTATGCCCTTGCCAGGCTGGCTTCTTTCGATTTCTAAAACACTCCAGGACAATAACCACATCCCTGAGCCTTTGCACTATCCATTCCCTCTACCTAGAATGTTCTTGCCCTGCCATTCCTTCACTCATTCAGCTCTCAGAAGCATCCTTCTCAGGGAAGAGTCGCCTCACATCCCAGGTGCTCCCTGTCACATCAACCTGGTTCATCTTCTTCATAACACTTTTTTCTAGCTGTTATTTTCTTCACCTGTTTGTTGTCTCTCTCCTCAACCTTTACCAGTTATAGAATATAAGCTCTAAGAACCGTGTTTGTCTTGTTCCCTGTTATGTCTCCATTACCTGGAAAAGTATCTGTCACATACTAGGTCTACAATAAATGCTGGTTGGATCAATAACATGTGCCAATCTATGTCACCAGAAAGTCTACATGCACTGAAACTCTGAGTACTACAAAATCAAAAGTCATCACTAAACCAGATCATCTATGTGACTTAATATAAAAGAATGTGTAAATTTTTAAAAGAGCATAGTACTTCCTGTGTTTGTTAGCTTTGGAATTGATATTCAATCCGATTCCAAGTCATCTGATTGTTTTGCTACAGTATCTCTCATATAGTTCCACCCCCCTCTTTAAAAAAAAAAATGTCACTAACCTTTTTCAAATCCACATTTCAATTTAGGCCCAAACTCAAATGACTTCCTTTTCTTCATTTGGTCTTTCTCTCCTTCAAACTGCTCTAGATAGTATTAATAGATTTATCACCTTAGAATCATGTAAGATTAGCATTGGAATAGAAAACAAAGAGTTCTCCAATTATTTCATTTCCAAGCTTTTAAAACATTCTCACTTGTTGAAAAACATTTTTCCATGAAAAACTTGCCATTTTCCAACACCAAATTTATAAACAAATAATATTGTACCTGAAGAGACATGGTCTAGTCTAATCCTCTCATTTTACAAATGAACAAATTGAGGCTAGAAAGACAAAATAATTTGCTCAATGTCACAGAGCTGAGTGGAAACAGATTTGACCGTAAAACAATTATGTCTCCAGAAACTGGGTGATCTGCCATCCCTTACCAGGTAGTGACAGAGTAAAAAAGGAGAAAGGAGTACTAGATTCCTGATCCATAGCCAGGACTTTCTTCCTTTGTAGGCCATGCTTCTCATTTAGGTTGACAGCTAACGCTCTGCAAAATATGGCCTAACCTAGCTTTCCAAATTGTCGCCTATCTTCCCTTTAATGTGGCTCGGCTCTAGCCGACTTTGACTGTTAGCAATTCCCCAAACATGCCTTACATTAACTTCATTTGCTCATTTATTTCTCATCATTTAACATATCCTTCTCCTATCCCTGTAAAGTCCAAATCACAGTCAATAGTATGTAAGGGGAGGGAAGAATTTCTTCATATTTTATTTCAATTGCCATCATTTCCATGAAACTTTTCCTCATAGTCCCACTAACAATAATCTACCCCCCCCCACTTTCATTTCCTTATATTTCCAATGTGGCATTTTTCATGTTCTAGTTTGTATTTCAGCTTAGTGTTCACCAAGATTCCCTCTATGAAAGGGCAAGCACCCTGAGCACCTACCTCTTAATATTTTGATATCATGCAGAACTCCAGTGATCCAACCTAGCCTTGCATATGATAAACATTTGATTGAGCTTTAGAGAGAACTAGAATTTATTAAAAGACAACTTAAATGTGACAGGCAATGTACTTAGAACTTTAAGGTTAGCATTTGTATTATATAACAAGAAAGCGGAACAGGGATTCCAAAACACATCTGCCCATTTTCAAAGTCTCTATTCTTTAAGAGACACAGTTCTGCCTGAGAAGTTAAATATTTTTCAGGATGCCATTCTGTTACACTTTAAATGTGACTGAGGCTTTTACCTATTTGTGACATTGAGTCCTACTCCTTGAAAATGTTTACAGATGAACAAATTCATCTTTCCCCGTGAGGACAGCTGCTTCCAGGGTGAGGTTCTGGAGGGCAGCCAGCCCAGAGCACGGAGGCCAAGCAGATGTGTGGGGAACGGATGATAGAAGGCCAGCCACCTAATCAGGTGTGTCTGATGAACTGAAGTGAAACACTGCAGGCAGCATGGGTCAAAGGAGGCAGAGACACAATCTCAGGCAAGGCCACAAAGCCAGCAAACTCTGGAAAATGTAACTGCAGAATACACTGTCATTTGGATTTAACATTTAAAGATAGGGTGGTAGATTATACGCAAAGTCCCATACAGTTTGCGGGGGCGGGGGGATCAAAGCTATATTTAACAACAAACTCAGCTAAAAGCAAGGCTACATATTTATACTGCCTGGAAAGTACTTCTGGCAATGTCTTATTTGCTGTGTCCAAAATTAGTAATATCATGAATAACTATAACTTCAAAAATGAAGGATGTGATTCTGCGTTTTATACTAAAAAGGTATGACTTTGTATGTGTACTTACCCTATTATGTAACTGAACAGTGTGGGGAAAAGAGTATGTCTAATATGAAAGAAAAAACCTCTGCCCCTGAGAAGTCCAAATTCTAAAAATGACTTAATCGGCCAACTGTGACAAAAGCAAGGCTTTGAACATCTCA